TTGCTTGTTCATCATAATTGAGTCTGTATAGTTTTCTACATTCCCCCTTTATTGTCAGAGCCCCATCCTCCCATACCCACCTCATTTCCAAGGTGTTTTTTTTTTTTTTTCCCTTTCTTTTCATCCTTTAGTTTGTCCCCAAGATTTCTAGTTGATTGTAGCTTAAAGTAATACTTATATGAATTTACGAAAAGAAAAAAAAAATTCTGGTGAGCCATGAATGCTAAAGTTGCCTGGCTACAGCATGAACTGGTTTAATTAATTAAAAATAAAATTGCCAATTTGACAAGTTACAAGTTCCGGATAATCCAATAGTTCTAACCAATATAAATTTAAGTGTTCCAAGATCTAAGGTTAAAAGAAAAAAAGAAAACGAAGCAGCAAATGACGTTGCCTGACACGTCTAGCAGCACGGGAGAGGCAGGTAGCAATGCACATAAGATTGCTAACTCTGAATCAAAGTTTGATTCATTTGTTTCATATAATTATTGAATAAATTTTGTAATTTAAATCACATATTTATAATTTTTTATTTTTAAATTGTGATCTACTTTATAAAAAACAAATCAAAGTCTTTCAATTTTCATACAAATTGCTTGTCTACTTTGTGAAGCAACTTCAGGTTTTGAGTGCAACACAATCTAATAAATTAGCTAAAATACCACAATTCTCAAACTCTGCAAGCAAATTGAATTAATCTATAAATTAAGTGTCTAATTTTATTAGTATACTTAACCATGCACGATCGTCATTAGCTATTAATTTCTACTCAAAACTCGTTCTTTGTTGCGAAATAATAAAAATCTATGCTGTTAAGCAACACAATTTTTTTCAATGTAAACTAATCTAATTGAACAAAACAAGTAACTAATTTAATTAGGCTGTACGGCACTGAACGTTGCTTAACAATGGTGTGAAATGTGATTACTTAAGTTTTTTTGGGACGCAATTCAAAGATGTAGTGGGAAAATGTCTAAAATGTCTGAAGAACCTAACCCATAAAGATGAACCAAAAGCAAAATAAGTGGTATTATTTTGGGGGACACCGTCTGATTCTTGACCAACAACAAAGAAAGAGTTCCATTTATGAAAGCAGGCAACGACTTCCATACCTCATTCCAGGACTTTGAAGCCCTCCAACAGCTTCTCCATTGTCCAATGTCCACCACCCTTAAAAAAGAATAATTCTATTACTATTATATTTGCTATTTTGCATTCACTTTACTGATTTTCTTCTACATTTATGCCTTATCAAAGAAATTTCTACGCCAACTTTTGGGGTGGAAAATGTTTACCAAGAGTCGTGACAAATCACGATCAATCATTTTAAGTTTCAACGATTTTTATTTCACATGCAAATCCTTCGCAGTGATTGAATGAAAAAAAAAATCAATATATTTTATAAAAAAAGTGTGGTAATTCATTATCAGTTAATGTTTTTGCAAAAACTAACGATGGATTGAGATCTCGCCACGTGGAAACATGAAAACAAAAGTGGCGGGGGCTAAGTGGCGCTCTTTGAACTAGGGTAATGTGGCTTTTAGGGAGATTTACCGGTTAGTTGGGTTTTCTCGAGACGTTACTTTGTGGGGCTGATCAAACCTAACGAACCCCGACAAACGGTGACGGGATTGGCTAGGAAGTGCTGCCGAAGCCGTAGTAGAACCGGCGTTAACCGTTCATTGCGGAGGCTTGCCTCTTTGACTTTTAATACGTGTCCACATCTCTTTGTTTGTGTAACCTTCTCTGATATTAAAACAAAACTTTTACTTTTCTAAAGGGGGAAAAAAAAAAAAAGCAAACGGGCAAATTTTTTTCTTTAATAAAATAAGAAATTAAGATTTTATCTTTTTTTCGGCGGAGACCGTTGATTGCGGTTGGGAATAAAGCGCTCTGACAGGGACCCCTCTTTTTGACCACATTTTGCATTGTCTTTTTTCTTCAAATTTTTTTATTTAAAAATTTAAAAATATTTTTATCAATTGAAATAAATTATTTAAATAAATTAATAAATTTATAAAATATTTTTTACAACCTCTTAACAAATTCAAATTAAAATAATAAAAAAATTCTTTTTATTACTTAAATAAAATATAAATTAATTTTTTTATCCTTTTTAATCCGATTAAATAAATAAAATATATTCAAACCAAAATACTCATCTTGCATATTTGATTTTACATGAATGCCATTGTTAATATTTGTCGTACCAGAAAAAAAAATTACCAGAAATTGTCGGTGGACTTCTTACCAGAAGAGAAATTAAATGGTGGTGAGCGTTGTTTGTCGGGTTGTCTGGTTTGGCAAATCCTGGTTACACGCTAGTCTTAGCCGATACTGCTACAAAAGCCTGGCGTTTAACATACATACACCGACACGTTATCATGCTTCGGACACCATTTTTATTGTATTTGTATTCAATCAAATTTAACTTGATGTCATCGTTAGCATTGTTTCTTTTGGCTAAAATGGAAATCTTGCAATTTAGGCTTAACGTGATTAAGTTGCTAACACTGCCAAAATTAATCATATTCTGCAAGTTTGATTGTCTGTTAATACTAAACTTTTCTTAATAATTATGCTACTTTTTTTAAAAAAATCTTTATATTAACTTTTGACCTACTAATTTTATCACTTGGTATATTCTTTGCTTTCAGTTTTGACATTATTTCCAGCAAAAGCTTATAATAAAATGCTAGAGCTGTTTTTTTTTTTTGTGTAAGTATTTATAAATTTAATTTAATTTAATTTAATTAATTTTGATAAGCGTTTATAAACTTCCGTTTATCATAAAAATATATAAAATAATTATATATTTTTTGTGGTACGAAGAAATGTTACAGAGTCAATTGAGAACGGGATTCGAGGCACAATATCCAACTCATCATAAAAACAGCCTGTTCTTGTTGCAAGAAATTAATGAGCAAATGTGACATAAAATACAAATTTTGCTATTGTAATTAAAATAAAATATATTGTGAGGCTGTAAGAGTTTCCCTGCTTTTGCACCTGCAAGTTTTATGGTCTCTCGGTTGATCTGCTCCTTCTGATAAATAAATACAGCTCCATTTTTTCACATGTTGAGATGAAGATCGTCACCTTCCTGGTTTTAAAACCTGAATCCTTTTTAGCTGGACAAAATAATGGTTTTTAGTTGAAAATTTAGGCTCTGCATTCACACATCCAACCCTCTGTAGTAAATAGTACATACATATGTATACACACTAATGAAGAGAGAGAGTGACATCAATTTTCTTAGTTGTGATTTTCCTTTTTTACTAATAACATTTTTTTAAAATTATTTTGGGAGAAGGGGATTGGAAATTTATTAAAGAAGAGAATTATTCAGTGTTTTTGATCTAGTGATTAAAAAAACTTAAAAAAAACATGTAAGAACGGAGTTCGAACTGTATCATTTTTATTTCTTATAACTTGATAAAAAAAATTAAGGAAGAGAAAATCTATTTAAAAAAAAAAAAGAAAATCGGCCGCAATTTTTTAGCTGTAACTGAATGAGAAATATTAGGTATTGAGTTATTCAATTATATTAAAATAAAGAACAAATCTGCGTTTCATTATTTAAAAAATAATGAAGATTTTCATAACTTTATCCAAATAAAATTATTAGTGTACTTTAAATTAAATCTAAAGATAATGTTTGTTCAAATCATTTTTTGGTTAAATTTATTTATCCTCATATTAAATTTAAAACAATTAAATTCAAAATGAATTAATCTCTTTTAGATAAAATTGTAAAAATCTCTATTACTTTTTAAGTGATTCGGCTCTTCTCTGATCATTACATTGGATTGGATTAAAGAGGTCAATGTACTGTTGAGATCTTGCCATGTGTACAAAAAATCTGATCAATGTTTCCAAATGCACCACATCATTCACTTTCAAAACCTTTTAATTTTTGCTAATTATCTTCTTATTTAGAAAAAAAATCACAATTTAGTCGTCGAACTTATCCTCTCCATGTCCATGTCTTTTACGTCTCAACCTGCTGTAAATCAAAATTTTATTTTCTTTCACTTATTCTTTCTGGTAATTTCTATATTATTTTTCATGTATTTTATTTATTATGATTGAGATAATAAATTTGAATGACGCTAGTAAAATAATACTTTTTTTTTTGTTCAGCAGAAATAATGCTGTTGAGAATTGAGCCATTGGAATTGAAAGTGGGGAGCAAAAATAAAACTGTTGAGCTTCTGGAATTTGCAAGGTCAGGTCATGTGTTTCATATTTTCAAATAAACATGAGCCTAAACTGAAAAAAATAAAAAAAAAATAAAAACAATAAAAACCAGAAGGAATGTATTAAAAATTAGGCAGGTTTGCAATTTCCCCATACCTTCTCGAGGGAAAAACGAACAAGCCGCAAACTGCAGAAGAAAGAAGGTTTGTTTTAAAAATTAATGTTCAAACTACAAACAAAGTTGATAAATATAAAATAAAATTTACATTAATTATAGGTCAACTAATGCTTGTTTCTTAAAAGCCAAAGCCAAAATTTCCGAAATCCAATTCTGTCCAATATTTTTAAATTTTAACCACAAGATTCTGCAGTTCAGGTTTCCCTAGCAAATGCCCATGTCTTTCTGGAAAATTTCAGGAGGCATTAAGGACAATTTGAATCTTGGAACACCCGGTTTAGGGGGACAGATTCTGGGGTTTTTTTTGGTTAAATTTTTTGACTCGACCCTGCAAGCTTACCCTTCTTCTACGTGTTTGCCTAATTCGTGATACTCATGGATTGCAAAAGAGAGAAATTAATTTAATCAAATCAAACATGAACATTATCCCTTGTACGAACAATATTTTCATCTTTAGCAGCCGTTTCCTTTTCTTTTTTTCCAGAAACGCATTAAATCTACACCGACCCTCGCCAGTAAAGAGCCAGGGACACCCCACATGACTCTGTTTTTTTCTTTTATCAACCGTTTTCCTCTCCTCTAAAAGGGAAAATAATTTTAATATGGAAAAAATTAAAATTAAATAAAATATTTTCACTTAGTGATCTCTGCCTATTTCTAGTCTCTAGGCAGCTTCCTTCCTTCCACAATATATAGAGGCTTGCGCTCCTCTTCCAATGCCCAATCTCATTACTCTCTCTCTTTCTTTTGTCTAAAATTTTTTTCGTGGGTTTATTATGAGTTTTAACTGATAAATTTATACCCACATTACCTTTTTTCTCTAGTTAGACTGCATTTTCTGCGTTTAATCCAAAATGGGTTTCTCTTATCAGTTTTAGAAAGTTCGAGGAAATCCCATTTTGCAGCATACAAATTCTGCTGCAGAAACAGATCTGTTTTTTCTTTTCCTCTGTTTTTGTTGAAATTGAAACTTGATTTTCTGTCTTCTGATAACTTTGAAGACATGGAGAAGTTAGTGAGACTCATTTCAATGGCTTCTTTGCTTCTGATACTTTGTCTTCCTATTGCATTTGCGGGACATGACTATAACCAAGCTCTGAGTAAGAGCATTGTCTTCTTTGAAGCTCAGAGATCTGGTTACCTTCCTCATAACCAGAGAGTCACATGGAGAGCTAATTCCGGTTTGAATGATGGCAAGGCCAGTGGGGTAAGTTAAAGTTCCACTCTCATTTTCCTAAATGTTGAACTTCCTACTCAGTCAATTTTACCCCACAAAGCAATTTGGAATCTAAAACTTTACTCTATTCTTGATTTCTTTTTCTTTCCCAATTGAAAATTATAGTTCTAATTTGTTGAATTTTCTTACAGGTGGATCTGGTTGGAGGGTACTATGATGCAGGGGATAATGTGAAGTTCGGACTGCCCATGGCGTTCACCATAACAATGATGTCCTGGAGCATAATAGAGTATGGAAAACAAATGGCTGCAAATGGAGAGCTTGGCCATGCCTTGGAAGCCGTCAAGTGGGGCACTGATTACCTTATCAAAGCTCACCCCGAACCCTATGTCCTTTACGGAGAGGTACTCTTCCGACCTTCCCTCTCTTTTTTCATCAACGTTTGCTTCTGCTTGTGTTTAACACTATTATCTTGTCACAAATATGTCCGTATCTTTTTCAAGTCACAACTTGATAGCAACACTTGTTTTTTAAAATATTACTAATTTATTTGTTGGAATTTAGAACTACCAATTTCTTTAAACTCAAGGGACTGAATAAAAAAAGGGCAAAGAGCTAATTTAATGAGATAAATTGTTAAATTGCGACCCAAATTAAACAAGTTGAGTAAAAGATCCATAATTTTGGAGCTAAATTTTGGTGTGGTTTGTTTAAGGTGGGAGATGGCAACAGTGACCATTACTGTTGGCAAAGACCCGAGGACATGACCACGGACCGTCATGCTTACAAGATTGACCCAAGTAACCCTGGGTCGGATCTCGCTGGTGAAACTGCAGCCGCCATGGCTGCCGCCTCAATCGTCTTCCGCCGCTCCAACCCTGCATATTCCAGCGAGCTTCTTCGCCATGCCTACCAGGTATTTTACTCAGTCTCTTTCTTGACTCTCTTTAGCTCATCTCACAGTTCCTTGAGTCAATTTTGGCGGACCATTGGCCCCCGCCGGTGCATGTTAGCTCACACTCTGCCTTTAGCAAAGCATCCGTGGATTGTAGTTAATAGGTACTTAAGGTAGCACTCCTTTTTGTCAGTCTGAACATTGCAACTTCGCAGGCCCCCCCAGTCACTATTCATTTAATAACACAATAATCTTTGTTTTGTTCTGTTTTTTATTTGTTCTTATTACTGGTTTGAGTGTTTTGAATGTTTTTTTTTTTTTTTCAAGGTTGAGTGTTTTAATTTTTAAATGCGCTTGTTTTTTTTTCTTAAAAAAAAAGCGCTTGGTAGATGTTTTCTCAAAAGAAATGTTTCTACCTTCTACTATTAGCAGCTGGCTTTAGAAACGGTGTCGTTGGGTGATTATTTATGGCTTGAAATTGAAAATTCATGCGGGCTAAACGTTTTCTGCGCATTATTTGGATCATGAGAGCATTTTGTTTTGCTCCGTCCATCACGGGTAATTAATTATCTTTTGACCGTCCAGATCTATCGTACTAGCAGATCTGAACCGTCCATTGTACCACAAAAGTTGTAATTTGTTATTCGTTTCTCACGTGCCAACACTGTCGGTGCTCCCAATGAAACCCACATCCCCAAATTACCCTCGTTTCGTTCCTCATATTACATAGCCTACCTATGCTCTTTAACAAACAATTTTAAGAATTTTAACAGCTAAATGATTTAGAACATTTTGGTTTTGTTTTGTGTTTTCAGCTTTTCGAATTTGCTGATAAATACAGAGGCAAATATGACAGCAGCATCACAGTTGTCCAAAAATACTATCGATCCATCAGTGGCTACAATGTAAGCTGTATTTCAATTTTCTTAAACAAACAATTTGATTAATATTACAGCAATGCTATAGTAAAAAGCATAAAGCAAAATTTGATTAATGGTCGAAAATGGACGTTACTCGGTACTTTTTATTGATTAATTCGGAATTTGGAATTTTGTATAGGACGAGTTGTTGTGGGCCGCTGCATGGCTGTACCAAGCTAGTAACAATCAGTACTACTTGAACTATCTTGGCAACAATGGTGACTCCATGGGTGGAACGGGCTGGGCCATGACTGAGTTTAGTTGGGACGTCAAGTACGCTGGTGTTCAGACTCTTGTCGCCAAGGTATTATTTTCAACTGCTAATTCTAATCCATCCATAATCAAGCAATAATTGGTCATGTCTCATCAAGAAATAATTATTGTTTCTGCTTTCACCTTAGACAATGACAATTCTATCACTATCTCAGTGATTAATAATTTTGATTAGCTGAGCAAGTGGTACGTTTTGCTTCACCTGCAGTTCTTAATGCAAGGTAAAGCTGGTCTCCATGCACCAGTATTTGAGAGGTACCATGAGAAGGCAGAGTACTTCATGTGCTCCTTGATTGGAAAGGGTAGCCGTAATGTTCAGAAGACTCCCGGTGGTTTGATTTTCCGACAGAGATGGAACAACATGCAGTTCGTGACTAGTGCCTCGTTCTTGGCCACTGTATACTCTGACTATCTCACTTCCTCTAGGGGAAGCTTGAAGTGTGCTGCTGGCAATGTTGCGCCATCCGAGCTTCTTTCTTTTGCAAAATCTCAGGTGACTACTGATCTCGTGTATTCAAAACTCTTTGTTTTTTATGAATGATTACAAGTTCAGCCTTTAACCAATTTTCTGATATTTTGCAATGTTAAATTCTCAGGTGGATTACCTCCTTGGAGACAATCCAAGAGCTACAAGTTATATGGTTGGTTATGGGAACAATTACCCACGACAAGTTCACCACCGAGGTTCTTCAATTGTTTCAATCAAGGTTGACCCTACATTTGTTGCCTGCCGACAAGGTTATGCTACTTGGTATTCAAGGAAAGCAAGTGATCCTAATCTCCTCACTGGTGCTTTGGTTGGAGGGCCTGATGCCTATGATAACTTTGCTGATGAAAGGGACAATTATGAGCAAACAGAGCCTGCTACCTATAATAATGCTCCTCTTCTTGGCATATTGGCTAGACTGGGAGGTGGTCATGGTGGTTATAACCAGCTCCTTCCTGGTATATATAGCCTATATCCCCATTAAGTTTTATGGTTTTAACTTTTTCTAATTCTCTCATATTCCATCAACCATGACGATCATGATGTTTGCTTTTCCTGCAGTGTTTGCCCCAGTTCCTAATCCAACTGTTGCCAAACCAAAACCCACATTGACTCCAACTCCTGGTATGTTCTTGCTTCTCTTTTAAATGATTTTCGCTAAACATTGTCTGAGTTGGTGAATATACTCGAGTTAGGGCACTATAATTTCCCTAATTAATTAAGGGATGTGTGGTTCTATTTCTCATTATAATAGGCCTATTAAATGGCCAAATCTGACCTGTAGATTTTGTTTTGCAGCCTCATCTTCTAGTCCAATTTCCATAGACCAGAAGATGACAACTTCCTGGAATGATAAGGGAAAAACTTACTACAGATATTCCACAGTGGTGACCAACAAGTCTTACAAGACTCTAAAGGATCTCAAGCTTTCTATATCAAAGCTTTATGGTCCTATATGGGGTCTCACCAAGTCTGGCAATTCTTATGGTTTCCCAACATGGATCGACTCTTTACCTGCTGGAAAGAGTCTTGAGTTTGTATACATCCATTCTACTTCTCCTGCTGATATCTCAGTTTCAAGCTACGATTTGGCTTAAGAAAGGAAGAAAATTGCAAAAACAGAGTAAGGTCCACTTAGTTTCTGGGGTTGTGGTGTAAGAATTGTGCAGCTATACAGAATGCAGTCCAGAAAAGGTCTTTCTATTTTTTTTCCTTCTTTTTTTTTCTTGTTTGGGGATTTTCAACTTTACTTGTTGATTTGGTATTTGATTAGGTTTCTAGCTGATATTAGGTTAAATAACGACGAAGATTGGAGGAGAAAGGAGTGAAGAGACGAATTAAAAAGGAGTGCTCATCCTCTTTCTCCTCTACTTCATTAGTTATTATTATTATTATTATTATTATTATTATATATATCTATAGATAGGATTGAGAGACAATGAAAACAGTGAGAATTGAGAAGTAAACAAATGACTTCCCAATAGATTGCAAGGAGTCTGTTTTTCATTTGTACTTCAGAGCAGCTGATGTCCTTTTTCTTTCTGTGTTGTGATGCTGCAAGCTATGCAGCATTTTATATTTTCCATATAAATACAGTTTGCACAACAATGTTTTGTCTCTCTTCTTCTGTTCAAGATTCAATCGCAGTTCAATTTGTGTTTTTGTAAAGATTTCCCTATGAAGTAATAAACATGCCATCATTCTCATTGAAGTTTCCTGTTATCACATAGGAACTTCATAAAGGCTTCCAAAGAAGTGCTTTTGCAGTGTGTTCAGTTGCTTCCCAAATACTAGAACATTGGCAAAGACCTGAACAGAAATTTCCGCATTTGGTGTACAATTTGGATACAGAAAACAGTTCTCCCAGGCTCGAAGAATTTTGGCTTAAACAGTCCTGTAAACAATTTTCTATACAGGTCCACATTCGAACCCCAAACTGAACAAGCATCTCAAAATGCAAAATAAAAATGCCTGATCTAAATTTGGTGTAAAAGTCCACCGAGTTTCATTAGATTTTACCAGTTTTGAGTTCACTTGCAACTACATGCTAGATTGTTGCACAATAAGAACACCAGAAAGCCGCCTTCGTGCCCTTTATTCAATTCAAGCAGGGGCAAGTAGCCTAATTAGCTGCTTTCACCAGGTCAGACTAAACCATATGGTGGTGTCATCCATGTACTTGGTGCTAGTAAACCTATTCGCAATGCTTCAAATATATCTGGACAAGTTTTTCAATTCAAATTGATGATTGGTGCTCGGAGTTTGAACTTGGGCATCATTGCCCGCATGGGTCCAAAGCAAAAGAAAATACTAACCTTGGTCAAAATGGGCTTAGCCCATGGGACCAATTGGTTTCAACCCATTCAAAACGCCAACTCCTGGTTGTACTCTGGCACCGCCTTTGGTAATTCATTAAACAAAAAATATATATAATTCCACTTTCACATTTCAATCGGCAAAGAAAATAAAGCGCTCGCTCTTGAGGTTTTTCTTTTCCCACATCAAGATATCAAAGATCAGAGGATTGAAAGATCAAAGAAAAGAAAGGCGAGATCCATCAAAATTAAATAGAGAAAAAAATGGAAATAGGGAAAGAGAGCGAGTTGGTTCGGCGATGCATAGAAGCAGCTTGCTTAAGCAGAGAGAGCGTAGAGAAATGGCGGAGACAAAGGAGAACTCTGGAACGATTGCCTTCTCACCTTTCTCAATCTCTCCTTCGAAACCTCCTCCATCGCCGCCTCCTCTTCCCTTCCTTACTAGAGTACATTAACACTTCAATTTTTATCTCATAGTATTTAATCAATTTTAGTTCGTTTTCTGTTTTCTCTTAATACTTGTAATTTCAAAAATAGCTGTGAATCCGAAATTGTTTGTTCTATTTTTTCTTCATATTATTTTTAAAGTTTGCAAACTGGTCTTGGTTAAAGCAGATTATTCATTATTATGATGCAGAATATTCAAGTATAGTGTGGAGGAGATAGATCTAAGAGGAGAGAATTGTGTAGATGCAGAATGGATGGCGTATTTAGGCGCATTTCGTTATCTACGATCCCTCAATCTAGCTGATTGTTATAGAATTAATAATTCTGCTATTTGGTCCATAGTAGGTATGTTTTGTTCTTTTTTTTTTCTAAATGTAATAGCAATTATAAGGAAATTGATTTTCAGTTTTCTCATATCTGTATGTAAATTGTGCAATTTTAGATGCGTTAAATAGAATAATTGAGGAGAGAAGTGAAAATCAAAGCTCAGTTTCGTCATGGTGATAAGCAATTGTAATTTAATTGGAATCTTTAGAGAGTTACCTTTCAAAACGTTTCTAGTGTTTTTTTTTTTTTTTTTGCTGGTTTTAGGGATGACTAGTCTGAAGGAAGTGGACCTTTCGCGTTGCATGAAGGTTACTGATGCTGGCGTTAGGCATCTTATATCCATTTCAACTTTGGAAAAGTTATGGATTTCAGAAACTGGCGTCACTGCAAATGGGGTTGCGCTGCTCTCTTCACTTAAGAATTTGTCTATATTAGACTTGGGTGGCTTGGCTGTTACAGATAATGCTTTGAATTTTCTCCAGGTACTCTTTCTCTCTGTCTCTGTGTGTGTGTGTGTATATACATACACTTTTTATTCTTGCTTGAAAAGTTACTATATTTCTTGTCATTGCTAAAGGAATGAAATTATCCACAATTATTTCGAAACCTTCTTGATAACTGGATTATATTATACCTCTCAAGTTTTCTAGTTATTAGTACCACTTTGAAATCTTTGTGATAGTAATTACTGTTTTTGTAAATACTTCATTTATTTGGGAGCTGGAGTGTCTCAGTTGCTGTTAAATTGTGTTATTAAGTTTCTTTGCAGATGGAATCATTTGTAACAACTAGACAAGCTTAGTTACATGTCAATTACCATAGATGATTGTTTTTAGTTCAATTTTGGTGGTTCCATTCAATTACCCTTTGAAGGATTGATTCTAAAATATTATAGTTAATTTTCTTCTTTCAGTGTAAAGTATCCAGGTAAAAATGACTTCTGGTGGCTGTTTTCTTTTAGGCATTGACAAAGCTGCAGCACCTTGATCTTTGGGGGAGCAAAATATCTAACAAAGGGGCTTTGGTTCTTCGAAGGTTCCCCAAGCTGAGCTTCCTCAATCTTGCTTGGACCAATGTCACATGCTTTCCAAATCTGTCATCGATTGAATTTTTAAACATGAGTAATTGTACCATTGATTCTATCCTTGAAGGCAATGGTGATAAAGCTCCTTTAATGAAGCTTATTTGTGCTGGAGCAACTTTCATGAATGAGGCTGAGGTCTTTTTATATATCAAAACAAGTTTCTTATCCTTGCTGGATGTATCCAACTCTTCCCTTACGTGGTTCTGCTTTTTAGCTGATATGAAAATGCTTGAACATTTGGATCTCAGCTCTAGCATCTTCGGGGATGGTTCTGTTGAAATGATTGTATGTATTGGAGCAAGTCTGAAAAATCTAAATCTAAGCAGCACAAGAGTCAGCTCTGTTGGGATAGGGATGTTAGCTGGACATGTACCCAAACTTGAAATTTTATCTTTATCTCACACATCAATAGATGATGTTTCCTTGTCATATATCAGCTTGATGCCTTCACTTAAAGTTATTGACCTAAGCAACACAAACATTAAAGGTAAGATTTCTTCAGCACAAACTTTAAAGTTGTTACTTACTTGGATTAATCATGAATATGGATATTCATGATTCTTTCACAGTTACGTTATCAGTTGTGCGGTTGCTTGTATTCTTTGTTAGTAATGTTTGAGCCAAAATCGGCCCAAGGACAGGCAACTGGAAAAGAGAGAGTAAAGGTCAGGACTCGGGGACAAAGGCCAGATTTACTCTCTCTTTTCAAAGTGCTTGTCGTTGGGTCGATTTTGGCTCAAATAAGTGGATTTTAACTGATTTATTGACCCTTGGCGTGTACGTTAGGTGTTTAACATTTCTTTTGCAACTTCTAGGTTTTATTCACCAGAGAGGCACAGAGTCACAAATGGATAGCACACTAACAGCACTTCAAAATCTCAGTTATTTGGAGAGCTTAAACTTGGAGCAGACACAAGTTAGGGATCTTGATTTGTACCCGTTATCTAGTTGCAAAGAACTGAGCCATTTATCTCTCAAATGTTTTTCCCTTACAGATTCCACCTTGCATCACCTTTCATCTCTCCCAAAGCTGACAAACCTTCATGTCTGTGAAGCTGTGTTAACAAATAGTGGCCTGGACTCATTTAGCCCACCAACAACACTGAGAGTACTGGACCTGATGGGTTGTTGGCTCTTAACTGAAGATGCTATCTCATTGTTCTCAAGGAGACATCCTCAAGTTGAGATACGACATGAAGTTGTTCAAAGCCTTTCGACAGAGCAGCAAAATATTTCTGATCGCCCATCCTCGTCACAACAATATTCGAAAACTTCTCGAGGGAACAAAAAGCATGGAAAAGTGCCTATCTCTGAGTTTTTTGTAGGTGAGTAGACTTTCACAATAGATTTCGATTAGCATCAATATAGAGTCTCTCCTATCATCTGAATTTTCTTCCTTTTTTCCTTGATTGTTTTCTGAAATAGATCAAAGATTGAAATATAGCAGAGGAGAGCTACTTGCACTGCAGTTTTCACCTTTATCTCTTAAATCTCTTCATGATACAGGTATTGTAACACCCAATCAACAATCAGATCAAATGGATTAATTCCATTAACCAAGAGTTATATTTCCTTATACATGGTACTATAATATTCTCTCTGCAATTGTATGAGGAAATGTTTTTTTTTTTTTTTTGTAATTTCAATTTTGAATAAACTGTTACAATGTCGTCTTTTTTTATTACTAAAACAATTTTAAAATAATGTCATGTTATTAATATTAAATACCATTTTCCACTTATTGGGTTCAATAAATTACAATAATACTCTTGTAAATACGAAAAAGTTAACATTGAAATAATTAAATTTTCTTTTTTTTATGAACACTAGTAATGGAACCGCACGATGCTGCGGTTTCAAAATTTTTTATTTATTAAATTAAATAATTATTTTTATTATCTAAAAAAAGTTTGTAATTTATTAAAAATTTTGATTTTTTAAAAAGAAGAAAGTAAACAGATTTCATATCTATCCTCTTCTTCTTTGGTTAGGGTCCAAAAAGTAAACCAAACTTATATTCTTGACACAAGACTAAGCTTGTGATCCTCTGTTTAAAAGATTCTAGAAAGATAACACAATTCAAATCAATTGAATAAATATGATAGACTAATTACAAATAAATTACAAAAATCTTTCTAAATAAATAGAAATATTTCTAATTAATCTATAATCAAATAAGAGGTTCAGTTAACTATTGTCGCAATCATTAATGGAGTTTTATGGATAGTTTTTAATCTTCAAAACACAAGAAGCAATCAAATCACTTGGCATATGCTATACGATTATCAAATTAAATGTAAAATGTAGCAAAAAAAAGAGATCATTACCTGTATTGATGCAAAAATCTTTTTTCTATTTTCGGCTTCTAGTTTAACAATACACTCATTATAGATCAAGAATTATTTCAGGATTCTTCAATAATAAAAAATTAAGTATTAAAGAAACAAAAAATCAAGAAAAGATAAACATCAAAGCAATGTATTTTTAGTTTTGTACTATAAAATATTTAGGAGGTATCGGTAGGATGGGTCGCAAAAGTATGCAACAACATAAATAAAATGATCGAACAATGCGCTCTAATCACTGTCAATCACACTAAGAAAGGTCCATATTTATGTACATCATCATAATGAATGGCTTTAATTGCAAGCTTTGTTCTATGCATGACATTCATTTAATTTCATAAGTATCTATCTTTTTTAAGAATTTCGGCAATTATTTTTAAAGATTTTTTATATCTAATCATATCTATAAAAGATAAAAGACACTTAGAATGAGATATAATAAGATTGAAAAATAAATTAGTCAAAATATTAAATCAAATGTTGCCCATAAACAGATAATTTCCAATTCAAACGATACCATAAGCATTGAGTCATGAATTCAATATAGAAAACCTAATATAGAAAACATAATTCTAGATGTATGTTATTATTTGCATGCCCATTAAGGATGTGATATCAATGAACACTTCATATACCAATCTTGAAACATTATTATATGTGATGGGATAAAATCAAATTTGGACATCTAATAATCGGTCAAGAATCAAGATTTTAAATCAAATATTAACAATTAACAAATAATGCTAGAACACTGATTTCAAAAAATGAGATAATATCAAATTGATTAAATTCAATCAAGAATACATTCATAATTTAAAATTTTATTATTGAATATATATAGAAATAAAAATAGGAGTAGGCACTAAAACACACAAGAACAACTCAATTCAGTGAACATGAAAAACAAAAATATGCAGTAATAAAAATAGAAACTTTGCTAAATGCATACATGGCAATAGGCGAGATGTAAAAGCACATATTGAAAAAATTTTCTCTTGAAAATCAATTTATACTTTAAAACAAGGATATAAAATCCAAAATTCATTGCCTTCCATTGAAACACTGAAAATTTTTGCACATTCACCCTTATTGCAAAAAAAAAAAAAAAGAAAAAAGAGTAAGACCCAAATGCGTGAATCGAGAGAGAAAAAGAAAGGTAAAAGCACACACACCCACCGAAATAAAGAAAAAAGTAACATAGAAGTTTCTTTCAAATCCACCATCAAAACCAACAGGACAAAGGACAAAGATAAGTGAAAAAATTTAGAAATGGAAAATTGAAATATAAACAAAAGGTCTTAGCTCAAACAAATAGCACATTATAGACACATCGGAAATTTTTTGATACAAATAGAGTGACTTTTACAGTCATTAACATATTTTCTCAAGGATTACATTTTTACGCTACTGCCAAATAAACAAACCATAATGTTCATCATATAGTTTACTATCATTTAATAAGTAGTCATAGAAGTTATGAGGCTATGCTTGTTTGAGAAACGAAGCAGGGTAAGTAGAATTAGAAATAACAAATTTACCTAAAACAGGAACTCACATTGTCTAATGGGCAAACATTGTTGAATAAGGTTTATGCTTAGATTCAACCAGTACAATGTTGAGAATTTCAATTTAATATGGCTTGAGGATGTATAATGCCATACCCAATGCATAGATCACATCTGTCTCAAAAAGAGAATTGTCACAAAGTAAAAGTATCATTAACTTTCAAGAATCATGAAATCAAGCAATTTTCAAAAGGAAAAGAGCTATACTTATATCAAACACTAGTAACCAGACATCAAGGTTACGGACACCTTTATACTCCTCATGGATTTGCTTCTTCCACATTTTTTATGCCTTCCAACGAATGTAACCCAATACAATACTTAAGCAAATCAATATAGAAACACTAAGCATTACCCAATTACATTAACTTAATAAAAAAAACTATAATCTAAATAATTGAAAGAAAAAGATTACCCATTACCGTCAAAAACATCCCTAGAAATCTTCATCTTCTTGGTAGTCTCTTTATACAAATCCTCCAAATTGCAAGGCAATGTTCATTCAATTGCGGGTCCTTTTCAAGGCTTCTATAAGTTAGCAATATTTTGCATCCAGTAGTTGAAAATTGTTTAAAGGCTTCATTATCAAATGAGATCCCAACAGCTTTAAGGTCAAGTTTCTGCTAGAGGTCATTTAAAATTATGAGGATCCTCTTGTCATTCTTCAATCACTGGCATAACCACATTATTCTTCAATTACTAGTCGTTTCATAAAAGAAAACGATCTCAAACATTCTAGGTCTAAAATAGTATCTAATTAAAAAGTTAAAAAAAATGAACCCAAAAAATGGCAATTGGTGGAGGCTTTTACATTGGAATGGCCTGAGATAGACTGATCTCCTCATTTTCACCCTATCACTTCATTTCTTCCCCCTTTCTCTTTCTGTTTTCCCTCGAAGCGTCCTTTCTTTGAAGGGTAAGAGAAAGAAAGAGAAAAAAAAAAAAAATGGGAAATCGTCTCTCACCCATCCTCTAATCATTTTTCAGATAAAAAAATGAGTTTACACGCGCGACCTCTGACACCCACAAAAGAGATGGCAGAAGGAAAAAAGAAACACCAAGCGTGACACGTGGCCTTTTAGAAGAAGTCAAGATGATGTCAAAATGTGGTTTTTTTTTTTTTTAATGTTAAAACTACGTCTCTTGAAACATGATTTTTATAATTCAAAAATTATGTTTCTAATGTAAAAAGGGTAGTCTAAATAATTTTTATATTTATTATTAATCGCTTTTAAAACAAAAAAAAGATGATTTTTTATAAATTATCAATCACGTATTTAAATTAATAAATATAATCTTTATTAAGAAACATTATATTTTTAAGTATCATAAATATTTTTGTTTTAAATCACATCAATTATTATGTTTTTTACATTATAAATGTCATTGATATGAAAATTTTTATTTTATTTTATTATTATTTTAATTGATTTAATATATTTTAATTATATAAAATGTATTTTTTCTCTAATATTTTTAGAAACTAAAAAAATATCTAAAAAACAAAAAATTAAGGAAAACAAAAAAACAGTCACATAACACCTCAATAAAAAATCTTGTGCTCCGTACATTTACGATAATTATTAGGCTGACAAATATAAGTTTTAGCCTTTAAAAAAAATCATGTTTTTATATAAAAAAAGCCATGGTATTTTGGATTTTTTTTATTGTATTCAAAAATTAATACAAAACCTTTTTTTTAATTATTTTAAAATTTTATTTATATAATTACATTATATCAAAATAATTAGATTTTCTCTTAACTTTATAATCCAAAAATAATACGTAAATATCAATCAAAATGATTACACAAAAAATTCATTAAATTATTGATTCATCAAAATTCATTAAAACCTAATTATTTTAAAAATCATCGAATCATTTACTTATATTTATCATTATAGTTTATAGATCAAACTTAAGTCCTTGAAAAATCATCATATTATCCAAAAATCATCATCTAAATCTTTAAAAATCTTCAAAAATCATAACCTAAGTTTTTAAAAAATCTTTAAAATCATAATATAAACTTTTAAACATCTCACATAATTTAAATATCATAACTTGAACTCTTAAAAAGTTTTTCAAAATCATAACTTAAATTTTTTAAAAAAATATCATCACAATCTAAAAATTATAATTTAACTCTTAAAAATTCTTCAAAGATCGCAACTTAAATCTGATATCACTTTTTAAATTTTTTGAATTGTATTAAAAAATTATGTAATATAATGTTAAAAATGAGGTTGACAAATACAACTTTTGCTTTTTAAAAATCATATTTCTATAGAAGAAACATGATTTTTGAATTTTTAGATTATATTAAAGAAACTAGGTAATATAACATTCAAAGTGAATTGATAAATATAAACTTTAGCTTTTCAAAGATCATGGTTTTATATAAAAATGTGTTTTTAAATTTTTTGGATTGGATTAAAAAATTACTTATCATAAACAATATAATGTTCAAAGTAAGGGCTAATAAATACACGTTTTGGCTTTTCAAATATCACATTTCTATATAAAAAACATGATTTTTGAAAAATTTTGGATTGTATTAAAAAATGACGTAATATGTGCATGTGTGACGTTTCCCGCAGCTCCATGGAAGGGAATTGCATTTGGATAAACAATTTTTGAATATGAAGAAACCATATTTTTACAGTCCAAACCAAAAGGAAAGAAAGCGTAACTTCTACAAGTATCTGAACCGCAGAACCATCCCATTGGCCCTTTAGGATTCCATTGGAAGTATTTTGTCATGCATTTCGCTTGTTTGCACTCTTGTACATGTTGTCGATCACACTCTGCATCCAAAGATTTTGATCAGTGAACGGGCAAATACCAGTACGTGCACGGGCTAGAGAGATACAAAACTTAAACAAAAGAAGCCCAACCAAAAATAAAGAAGAAAAATAGGTACCTGATAATATTTAAGCAATTGAGGCCTCTTCTTCTTATACGTTGGGGTAAGAAGGTCGCGTTCCATGTCGAATGGCTCAGGGTCAAGATGGACAGCTTTTATAAATTCAAAACCTTTCAGCTGTGTAACAACAAGGATAATAAAAATTTAATTTCCATTTTCTTTCCTATTCGTCATAAAGAAAAAGTATTTACTTTAATAGTGGTGAACTCATATTTCATGAAATTTGAAATAATTAAAGTACAAGAACCATGAAATAAGAAACCTTTTTCTCTTTGCCAATCTTAGAGAGCTCCCCAAGAATGAACTCTTTGGCCTTGGGATTTTGACAGATGGAATCAAAGTCACCACTTACACCATTCCCGGCAGCCCAGCTTTCAAGTGCTTGCTTATTGGGGTTAACAACAGCAACAAGGAATGACTCAAAGCTGTTCCCATAAATCCATATCTGAAATTGATAAAGCACAATAACTGCCAAGTTAAAAGAATGCCAATCCCCAGCAGGTAAAATAAACATCAAGTGTCATTATAATCACGAAAAAATAAATCCAATTTAGCGACCATAGGAAGTTCTACAACAAATTTCTACACTCTCTGCAGCAATTATTGTTACTAACATCAATGATAAAGAGTTGAAATATAGAGCTAACCAACGAATGCAATCATAGCATGGATATCAGAAAGAGAATGTTCAATTTCCTAACATATTCAATGTCAATTTAACATTTAATTCCAAGATCCAGTTCATCTAACGGCATACCGAATCAATATCAGACACAAGACCATAAACATTCTCCAGGTTCTCGACTGCAACATATTCCCCTTGTGAAAGCTTAAAAATGTTCTTCTTTCGATCAATAATTTTCATGCTTCCATTTGGTTGCCACTCACCGATATCCCCTAATGCACAAAGATGAAAGGGCGTCAACTTGGAGATAAACAAAGGATACAGAGAACCTCAACTTAAGAAGAAACAAGTATCAGCAGACCTGTGTGGAACCACCCATCAATCATGACCTCATTGGTAAGGTCTTCACGTTTGTAGTAGCCTGAGAATAGGGTATTTCCCTTGATACAAATTTCCCCACATGGCGGGCTTGCAAATGCATCATAATTCATTTCAGGAACAGATTCCAGGCATATATCTACATTTGGTACTGGAGGCCCCACAGTACCAAGCATTGACAATTCATTAGGTAATGAGACAAAAGTCCCCGCACAAGTCTCTGTCAGACCTACATTCAGATCAATATAAAATTGATCAATGTCCATGTTGCATCAAGTGTGCATGATCAGTAAAGAAAAAGGAATTATCAAAAGCACAAAGGCTAATTTCAAAGTCAGTATACCATATCCTTGCAGAACATGACAACATGCCACCACTCGCAGGAACTCTTCCACATGAGCAGAAAGAGGTGCTGCTCCAGATAGAATAAGCCGCACATTCCCTCCCAATCCTTGCTTTACCTGAGAAAATTACAACTCAACATGAGATTCAAGTAGTCAACAAGATTTGTTTTGCAGGTAATGTGGTTCAATTCACTTTTCATCTGTATGCAAGGAGCCTTGTGTGTATTATATACCAATGAAGACTTTCATCACCTTACTAAATACAACTTTATCACAAATTGGAGATGCATCTCCATGTTTGCGGCCCTTCCTCATGTTATAGAATTTGCTGTAGGGGTTACCACAGATGTCAGAATCAAAAAGTAATGCAGAAATACGAAAATCAACAGGCATCAACAGGAATTAGTAAAACCAAACTCAACAGACCATAATCTTGATTAGGTAACTCTGCTAAACACAGTAACAAGAAATATAAGGACAAACTGCAAATAAATATCAACTAATTCAAAAGCTCATGATAAAGTTTAATGCCCAAAAGGATTGAGATAATTCTAGTTTTGTCTACAAGGAAGAAGATGGCCTAGTCTAGTGTACAGAAAGCCAAAATCCTTTACTCTTTATTTCAGTGAGTCTGTGGTGGTGAAACTGATTTCCTTAACTAACCCTATTTTTACTCATTATTTATTGGCAGTCAGCAGATAACAATGAACTGCTTCACATAAGCAAACTGAAAATTAGAAAGTAACTTACTATGAGTATGCCACATCAAACAATTTCTTTTTCAACAAGCTTCCCCCAGAAATCTTCTGTAGTAAACCTGATAATGTGCAAAGGTTATGCCAGTCTCACAGCTGAAAATGCATTGCAGTTCATTTCGTTTGTTTATATATATGCTAAAAAGGACATAGTACATTTACTCAACTTAGAGCAAGAATTTAGCAATGAGATTTCCACCCCCAAGAGAAAATAAATAAATTAGGACAAATTTTCCAGCAAGTAAATGTTCCAGGTTGCTTACTGTAACCTTCACAAACAACCCAAAAAATGACATTGCCTATCGCAGATTCAAAAAACCCCTTCAATAACTTTATACATGCTTAGAAAAATGCTGGAAATCAATCTCAGAACATTCAGGAATATAAGAAAGTTAACCTGAATAGATTCTATCTAACACACGAGGAACAGCACAGAAGATACTTGGCTTTAGCTCTCCAATATCTTCAACCAATAGTTTCACGTCCTGAAGTTGCAACAAATAAGCACTTACTGATTTGAATAGAATAAACTCTTATTTGTTGACACAATATCAAATAATCATGCTCACCCCACGCCAGAATCCTATTGAGGCACCATGTGAAATAAATAACTCCTCAATCACCCGGTCAAAGATATGTGCAAGAGGAAGATAAGAAATATATACATCCTTCTCTGTCAACTGTAAAATTTCACAAGCAACAAACAAATGAGGGAGAGAATGCAAAACAGATAATATCATACATCAAAATTAGTGTGGGAAGAGAAAAGACAGGTCAAATGATGTGATTGATGAAATGATTTGTCTTGGAATTGGGATACAAATGAAAAATTTCACAAGAAACAAACAAATGAAGGAGAGAAAGCAAAAAAGAGAATATCATCCATCAAAATTTAGTGTGGGAAGAAAAAAAGACAGGTCAAATGAAGTGACTTGTGAGATGATTTGTCTTGGAATCGGGATAGTAAATGAAAAGATCACCTGTTCATTTACACGCCCTAGCAGGCGTTTTACCCCTGCTATAAGAGTAACGATACTATCATTTGAAATCAATACTCCCTTGGGATCACCAGTTGTTCCACTAGTATACATTATTGTGCAGATATCACTTTTCTTCTTCACCGGAAGATCAAATTGTTTATTTTCTCCCTGCAAGAAACAGACATCAGAACTTAAATCAGAACCAACAGTCATCTATAAGTTAAAATCCAGTAAATGTAATTAACAATAAAGAAGCAAATCAAACAATTATCAAATATACATGACACACGGTTACAAAATAATATCTATAAAACAATTGCTTTAGGATCCTCAATCAAAATGAATACAAAGAAAATGCCAACTCACATGCTTGTAGAGTCAAGATGCTAAAATTATCAAGTTGATAGGTCATTGTTGCTAGTCAACAGTTCAGAAAACTATGAGAAATTACTCCCAGATTCCAAGAACAAAAGATATAGGACCATGCATGAAAATGTAAGAAATCCTTTGTTCATATTAAAACACCGATAGAAACATGTTTTTCTAGAGGTAGATACCTTTCTCTGAACTCATAACTAACAGGACTGGCAGTCTGCTAAAAATGACACAATAACTTCAGCAGTATAAAATTATTTACAGATAAATTCAAGAGAAAAAATAACAAAGCAAGTAGCCTACCAATTGCAAAAATTCCTCCCAAGGATATATTGCCAAACCTTGCTTCTCAGCTTCTGCCTTCTGCTCGGGTGTTACCTTTCCAAAGCTAACAATTGCTGCATAGCAAACATGCATGCACATAAATTATTTCTAACATACTATAGCAAGAATAAGTGAGTAGTGCAAGAAGATTTAAAACTACAACCTAACATGATTCCTTTTTTGGCCTTTCATACAACCGACTCCAAAGTTATACGATATAAGGCTTAGTTTGTTGTTATTATTGTTGTAGCAAGAATAAAATCCCCTGCCACGGCCCGCCCCCCCCCCCCCCCGGGAACCATAAATAAATAAATAGATGACTTACTTCTCAAGTATTTTGTTGAGTTTGGAAATGTTTTAAAAAGCTGAAAGGGCAAAAAGAAACCTTACATGAGAAAAAATATATATATTTGTGTAGCTACAAATTCTCAGATTAACACCAACTAAACAAAACTGAGCAGCATGTATAGAAACAAATGCTGCGATAAAAAACTAAAAATCTATTTTGTACACACATCTTATTTTTGCAAGAAATAGCATATCTTCCCCAATTGTTCCCATAACAATCCAAGGATTCCAAATATAGAAGTAAATATGCTTACCTCAATAATCTTCTTTTCCTCTACAAAAGCAATTGAAACTTCTGCATGGCATATGATAAACTCCACAGCACCAGCACCTACAACATAGATGACAAAGGATCAAACATTCATAAACAGTAAGCATGTGATGTTGAGATGCACATGTAAGTGAAAGAGTTTAAAGATGTTATAAATAACAAACTATCACTGTATCCAAAAATGAAGAAGCCTATACAGCACACATAAGATGGTTGCTGAAAGTAGTGATTTAACAAAATTGGAAAGCATGCTTTTGTTGGTTCTCAAGAGGAAATACCTAGAGTGTCATATAAAGGAACACAATAGAGTCCATGAGCATTGCAGGCCTGTGTCAATGTTGCTGCATTAGTAAACTTTACGGGGAACAAGCATTTTGGTGGCAAAGAGTACGCTCAACAGAAACAATTTATAGTGACATCTATGTAACTGGAGATGTCTACCATGAAAATTATACCTCCATGCTTGTTATCCACTCTGGGCAATTGGCACCATAAATACCACATTTTTCTCCCTGTAAGCAAGAACAAAATGCATAAAATTTGTAAAACACACATAAATTGTAGCTGTGGATAATGATCACATAAATAGTAATTTTGTTATAAAAATTTTGACAATAATTTACAATTAAAAAAAGTTAGGGCATTACTTCCTCAACACCACAACTCCGGATGGAATTTCCGATTTTTATTACCACATCATAAACTTCTTTGTAAGTTTGCCACACGTATTTTCCAGCCTGCAGTAAAAGCACAACAATTTAGATACATAAACTAAAAGTCAAAGGCAACAATACAAACAGAATGCAAAAGTAACAATAACCAAAAAGGAAAAAAAATCTGCAGCAGCAACATACTTTCCCATTCACAATCTGCCGGCGACCAAGCATACGGTTGTTAGGATATTTCTCAACTGACATGCTGCATGGAGAAGATGAAACACAAATCATTATCAATAAATAAAACATCACATTTTTGTAGCATAATAAATACGAGCTGTCTTACAGTTAGTTAACAAGTTCAATCAGCCCGCTTCCATGATATTAGCTATGTTAGAAGTTAGCAAAGTTTTAATCTCCATATCACATGAACACAAAAAATCGAAATAATTACTACTAGTAAACATTTAAATTTCTAATTTTACAGTTTTACACAGAGTTGAATGAAAGTCAATGATCTTTCAACTAGAAACATGGAAATCTCAGTATTTTGCTCCGTCTGAACGTTAAAATTCGAAAGTTTCATATATAACGAGCTTCGATCTTAATAAAATTAAATCTTATGATCTCCAAAACTACTGCTTCTTGAATTCTACACCTCTCCGGGGTGAGATTAAAGTACCTAATCAAACAAATTTAAATACCTACCGAACTTCAAAAAAAGTAAATAAATAAACAAAAATGAAAATTCAAATATTAGCAACTATGTCTATATCCAAAGTCCGCTGAAATCAAGCAAAAGAAAGTCAAACATCCTCTTATTTTCCGTATTTTCTTAGCCAGCAAGCAAGAGGCTTCAAGTAAAAAAGAGAAAAAAGCTAAAAACTAACCGGAAAATGTCCCAACAACTCTCCATTCCAGGAATCGGAGCAGGGAATCCATTGTCCGCAAAAGAACTGCGATAAACAGGGCCAATCGACGGTCTTCCGTCGCTGGCGGCCTTCCCTTCCTCTACCTTGATTATATAACTCTTCCCAGCCATTTTTGATCAAAATGGTCAGAATCAGACGCCGTGAATTTTTCCTTTTTATATTCTCTCTTTCAAATATTTATACACACATATATATATGGACCTTAGGAATGTGGAGAAGAAAATTTGTGAATATAAATAGTGCTAAAGAAATTAGGCGGCAGTGGGTGACCGCCAGACGAAAAACGCCGTATTTTTTTATTGGTTTGGAAATTTACTTAGTGTAATGCTTCAATTTTAAAGCTAGTTTTGACTTTGGTAGACGACGAGAGAGTAGAGCAAATGAGAAGGAAAAAAAAAAGGACCACTCTGAATCAGCGGTATAACAGATAGTTCAGATCTGATCGAATAAGGTTAATTTTTTGTTGCGATACAAAAGTGTAGTTGTTCACATCAAAACGACATCATTTTTTTTTTTTTACCATTTTATAACTCAATGATAATCTTGCGAATTTAGGATGCAAGATGATGCCACTAATGCTAGGAATTGGGATTCCATTAATCAAACAAAGTCTAAATTTTTTTTTTTGTTTCTTATTTTTTATTTTTTATTTTTATTAATTTTTTATCATTAGACTTTTTAAAAATAATTGTAATTGGTTAATTTATTTTAAATAAAAATAACATATTACATTCTTTTCCAAGTTAATATATAATTGGATTAAGGATAAGTTTGAATTAGAATATAACTCAGTTAAAGTTTAATTTGATAATAATTAAAGATAATTTTTAAATTAATAAAATTATTGTTATTTGTGATTAAAAAAACTAGAGTAAATTAAAAATGAAAACAAAAAATAATTAATTAATAATTAACAAAAATATATTTATCTTTTCATTTAAAATTAATTTAATAAATAACACTTTAGAGAAATTCAGTGTGTTTTCATCAAACTTTAGAGGGTAAGAGAGCTTTTTTCAAATTAAAGAGGGATAAATGTATTTTCTAACAAAACTCATGCTATAAATGTATTTTACACAAATCAAAATTAAAAATGGAGCTAACTTAAAATATACTTACTCTTTTTGTGCAGTAATATTTTTTATTGTCTTTGACACAATTTTTTTTTCTTTCACATGTGAAGACATGTTTTTTTAGGATAATTAAAAATTTTATTTGAAAATCCAAAAAGAAGTATGTACAAATACGCAAAATAGAGTAACAATAAGGGAAACCACAAAAGTCTACACTATGATGTTGAGTTATAATACATGTAAACAAAAACATGTCCGATTGATAAGGATACATTGTTTTTCATCAATCAAAATTTTATGCTTAATTAATTATTAAAAGTTATAAAAATTTAAATTTTTATCATTTAAATTAAAAATTTATAATTCTATTAATATATCATATAATTATCGATTAATTTAATGATAAAATCTTAATTATACTATATCATTATTAAAAATAATAAAAAAATCATATATCTAAAAATATTCGGATTCAAGATATTCTAATTATATTATTTAAACATGTGAACGATTTGAAAATGTTTATACTTTTATATTCATAACAATACTCTCGTAATCAAGGGTCTAACATTATGCTGATTTTGATGCTTTTTTTTAGTTGTCAACAATTCTAGAAGAGAAGAAAATTACAAGTCAAGGTGTTGAAATATCAGCGCGGCAGCTAGTGACGAAAACTGAAAAGTACATTCCAGTGTATCTATTCTTTAAGCCACTGTTTTGAAAATTTTTTTTTTTTTTAACTTAGGGTAAGTTGTTTAGTCTTTTAAATTAGAGTAAACAAAGTTTTATTAATTAGCAAAAATTTGGGCCATCCGTTATTAAAGAAGTTTTGAAAAAATATATATTGTATTTTTAAAAATAAAACAAAAGTTAAGTGAGTAAAAATGTAGAGTAATTTTTTAAGAAATCGATAATTTTTTAAAATAATTAAAAATATAAATACAAACCTTAATTTTTGTTATTATTGTCATTTTATTTTACTTTTAAGTAAAAGTCATAACACAAATGGTGTAGAGGTTTTTATAGTAGTATAATGATTCTTAGACCTATTGACGAATCAGTCTTGAGCAATATTTTTTAAGTTTTGGATCATGTCCAATTTATAAAAATGATTTAATATTATATTTTTATTTTTATTTTATATTATTTTAAATATATTTTAAAAGATCTTAAATTTAAATTGACAAAAAGACTTAAATGCATTTTTGTGGACGAATCAATTTGAATCTTAAACAATGTTTTATCCATGATCACCTTTAGTTTTGTGCATGCTATTCCCTCCGTCTCAAAATATTGTTATGTATTGATTTTTATGAAATTTAAAAAAAAATTGATTTAGATGTATTTAATATTAAAATTTAAAATTTTTTATAAAATTAAAATTTCATTATTTTTAATATCAAAAAGTAAAATAAAATCATAAAAAATAATTTTAAATTATAAAAAATAAGAATTTTAAATATTAAAAAAAGTACATAATTTTAGCATATCTCAAAAATTGAACAAAAAAATGAGACCAAGAAAGTATTTAATAATACTAGAGTGAAGCCCACACTACGCAGTGTATTTTAAGTTTTTTATTATTTTTTACTTTATTATTATTGTTACGAATAAGTATTATAAAAACTTTATATAATCTATGTGATATTTAAAAGAAATTTTGTAACCTATTAATTGATAGATAAAATACTTAATTTTTAAAGCATTTTAAGTTCAAAAGGTACATCAGAGAAAAATATTATTAATCTATAATTTTAGGGGATCCATCTTTACATTCTCTAGCAACTGAACCTCCTAAAAAACTTGCCACTGCTTTTCTCGATCCTATGCCAAGTGTCATTCTTATTTTCTTGTTCTTTACTCCTTAATGAATATTACAAAGCTTGATGGATGTGGCATCATTAAGTTTTGTGATGAATAGGATGAGAGCAATGTGAATACAGTGGGTGATGAGTATTCTGGTAAGTTTTTGATCCCCAAACCTCTCAAGTATACTATGATGAGAAATCGGAGCTCACAGTTAAGAAAGTTATTTCCTTTCCTAGGATGCCAATGACTATTTATGTCCCCAGTCTATTCCCTTACTAGATTGATAAAACAGTCTTATGAAAATACGACTATGATGTTGTGATATGAGGACTTGATATGACCTCGAATGATCCATGTATGGGAAGTACTGCAAACATAATAGGCATAAGAAAAATGACTCAAAGTGATCGGTGTTACACTTCTGAGTTGTCAGAGAAAGTCAGAAAAAAGGGAAAGGTAGAATCGGAGAAGAAGACATAGGGAAAAATCAAGGTTCTCAACTAGTGGTAAGCCCAGAAGTGTAGATCAATAAACCAGTATCAGAGAAAAAAGCCTATGAGTTCTTAAAGGTCATTAAGTACAACAAATACAGTGTGGTCGATCAACTGAACAAACTATTTGCTCATATTTCTTTATTATCACTATTGTTAAATTATGAGCTGTGTAGGAATGCTTTGCTGAAGTGTTCAACCAAGCTTATGTCAAACATAATATTTCTATTGAGAAGGTAGATCACATGATTAGGAATATTATAGCCCCGAACTTTATTACTTTTAAAGATGATGAAATACTTTCAGAGGGACGAGGTAGTGTTAAAGTCCTGCACATAACTGTCAATTACAAAACCCACACCGTGGCTAAATATTGATTGATAATGGATCATCTATTAATGTCATGCCTTTGATGATGTTATCAAAACCACCAGTAGACTTTTCCCACATGAAAAATAACCATATGATTATAAGAGCTTTTGACAGATAACGAAGATAGGTGATTAAAGATATATAAAGATCCCATTATAGATTGACCTATATACTTTCAATGTTTCATTTCAGGTGATGGATATAACACCTACAAATAGCTATCTATTCGAAAGACCTTGGATTCATACCATTAGAGCAGTACCTTCATCTTTATACCGGAAGGTAAAGTTTGTCGTTGAAGGGAAACAAGTTTGCTTAAATGGTGAAAAAGATTTGTTAGTGACCAAAACACTGACTACTCCTTATATTAAAGTTGTGGAAGAGGCAATCGAATACTCTTTTAGGGCTTTCGAAGTAGCAAATGTTACTTATGTAGGAGAAAGGTTAAAGATACCGATCTTTTAACTGTCAAAGATTACGGGTATGATGATCAAGCAAACTATCAATAAAAGTTGGCAAGCAGGATAAGGTTTGGGAAAATTTTTACAAAGAATCAAGAAGGCACCAAGCATAACTAAGAATAAAGAAAGATGGGGTTTAGGTTATAAACCTACTACCATTGATAGAAGGAACATGATGCAAGAAAAGAAAAAAAAGAGAATGGCACATCTTAAAAGGCATAAATCAGTTGATGGAAGAATGGTGTTCCCCTATCTGTATGAGATATTTCACATCGATAGATATGTCCATCCTGGATCTTCATAGGTTGAAAAGAGTGAGTTAGCAATGGGATTAGAGAAGTCTTTTTTTCAAGTTTACATTATGACAGATGAGAAAGATATGCAAGATGAAAAGATATTCTTTTTTATTTTCCTAAGTTAGAAAATCCAAGAATGATGTATTGTTTTTGTTATCCTTGAACCATTCAAACTTAAGAATTCTAATTGCTTCTGCCTAAGAGCATGCAGAGGTTAAATGTATGGCTTACTTTCATTACCCTAATAAAATGGTGAATGCAATGTATTTCACATATACCATATTTTTCATTTTTTTCATTGCTATTCTCTTTGGCCTTACTAAAATCAGTATATATATTTCTTTGTGATTATATCCATTTTTAGGTTTTTCAATAATAAACATTATGGATGACTAAAGCAATAATGCTGGGTTTGATTTTAAAAATTCGATTCACATTAGTGACTTGATAACGATGTTGATTTAAAAGACTATAATTTGCCTCATGATTTGTTAAAATGGATAGAGCAAAAGGAGAAATTTATAAAATCCCATTAAAAATCTGTCAACTTGTTAAACTTGAGAGATTGTGAGAATAAATAAAAAGTTAGAATTGATACTTCACTATCACCGATTGAGAAATAGAAACAGGTGAATTTGTTGCAAGAATATATTGATGTATTTACATTGTCCTATTAGGATATGCCTGAACTTAGTACAGATGTGGTTAAGCATAAATTGCTTTTAAAACCAGAGTGTCAATCAGTATAACAAAAGTTAAGATGCATAAAGCCAAAAATATTGCTGAAGATAAAAAATGAAGTAAAGAAGTAATTTAACGTAAGTTTTTTAAAAGTGGCCAAGTACCCTGAATGGGTAACCAATATAGTTTCAGTTCCTAAGAAAAATGAAAAAGTTAAAATGTGTGTAGACTATCGAGATTTAAATAAAGCCAAACCAAAGGATA